TATTGTGATGGACTTTTGTCTATTGTCTCACCTGGGGCACTTGTTTGAAGAAAAATACAGATTTCTGGTACCTATACATTGTTTGTACAAAAGAGGTCTTTGATTTCATATCGCTTGTAAATTTGCTCTGGTTCAGTTTTTAAAGAATCGGGTCTTTCCTCAAAGTGTCTTACAAAGCCTCTACATATACAATGTACATGTTACTTCAAGATCCCATAATGAATTAGGCCCTCACAAGGTTTTTGTGATTTTTTTTTTTTTTTTTTTTTTGAGCACTCAGAATAGTATCAGCATGACGTTCAGCGTGACGTTCTTCGAATGTCTACGTTCATTCAGAATGTTATAAGCGTGACGTTCTTTAAATGTCTACGTTCATTCTAATATATTAGCATTAGTTAACTCAAACATTAACAGGACCAATATACAAAGTAAATACTGAGACAGATAGACAGCCATAAAGTCAAAGACACAGACAACACAAGGAGACAGAGAGACAGAAATGTAGGCAGTCAGACACACAGACAGACACACCCTGACACACCGACAATCAGAGAAACAGACAGACAGACATGCACACAATCATAAACATAGACAGCCACACTAGCAAACACATAACAGTCAAATAAACATACAGCCACACAGACAGACATCCTGACACACACACCCTAACATACACAGACAGACACATAGACTGACATACTCACAGACACACAGATAAATCACATACGGCCTTCCATGAAAAATGAAACGATAAACATGCGGACGACAGACAGATTGCGTTATCATCGGTTACAAGTCACAAATATTAAGATACACAAAAGAACGGTATACATAACAGATCCTAATCATAGACATATATGATATATGATAATTAGTCTAATTTTTTAACTACACAACAGAAGCATAAGAGAATTAACAAGTGTTATATTACATGTTTTGGAACTTCTCAAATCACGTCACATCAACTCTTTTTTTTCTCTCTTCATCACAGTGCTCGTTTTATACTTTTAATTGTAATCCTGTTCTTTACAAATGAGTTGTTTATTCAATATATATGTTTAAACATAGCTTGACATTTAACTTGTAATAAAAGAATGCCTCTTTCATTGATCTAGTATCTTATTAAGTATATTTTGTGCATATTCAATAGGCAATGTTTTCTTTTTATTGGACTTTACATATAAAATTAGATTGCTAACTATTACTGATTGAACTTTCTTCTGCATTTGATTGATACTATATTTAATACTATTATGTTTTATATCATTTCTACATTTCCACATTGTCCATTTGAATGCAATTAGCGCACTATTAAATAAAATAGAAAAGATACCTTTTTCCAGATAGCCCAGAGCTAATATTTCTGGAGTCAAAAGTTCATTCCTAAAACTTGGGAACTTCACAAATATTTTATTTCTGCATTGAATAAGGACAGATTTTACAACGTTACACGAGAAGAAAAGATGTAAAATATCCTCTAATTCTGTCTTACAAAAATGACATTTTCCGTCTGAATTACTAAATTTACTTATTTTTACTTCAGTATAAATGACGTTGTGTATACATTTCCATTGCAATTCCTTCATCTGTGTTGTCGTAAATGTTAATTCTATGTTATCCCAAACCAGTTCCCAGTCAAATTGTTTTTGAAAAGTTTGTTCCCATTTCAATTTGCAATTCGGTGTCAGATTTTTATTCAGTGTATTCATGATGATTTTAGGTTTTAATTTTCTCATAGTGAGCGGTTTCCCATCTCTTCCAATAATATTTAGGTTACTATCAATAATTGGGTATAAATAATCATTGTTCTCTCTGTTGTTCCCCTTTAACTCATCTAACCATACTATTGGAAAAGCATTTTTTAGTCTCGATAACTCAGACATACAATTTCGCTTATCTGTTAACAAAGAGTATATATCACAATCTTTTTTAAAATTCTTGTTTTGTACATCCCATATATCGTTGACTGTACAGATGCCACTTTTCGTAAATGAGGTAAAAAATAAAGGTTTTTCATTAAATTGAATAAAGTGGTTACCGAATAGCGGTTGTTTAAGAATCTCGTTTCTGTTTACATGTCTTAAATTTAATTTCTGATAAGTTGACCATGATTCTAACAGTTTTTTATAAAACAATGGAAAGTTGGATAGGTTCAACGTACGTATGTCCGCTAGTTTACAAACAAAAAACTCGATTCTGTATTTGTCATCCAAAGACCTAAGCCAGTGTTTGCCTATCGCGTTCCATGTATCAGTGTCACTTTTTAATATTTTGTACATAGATTTTACCTGTATACTAAAAACAAAATCTTTCACATCTATAATATTCATACCTCCTTCATGATAATGCTTTGATAATATTTTACGATTCACTAAGTCTTTTCTTCCGTTCCAAACAAAATTCCAAATTAACGAATTAATACTTTTAATATACTTTTCAGGTATACCTCGAGCTTCTGTCTCAAAGGCAATTAAGGAAAAGATAAGAGATCTTATAATTAGACTCTTGCCATATAAAGTTAAATGTCTACTTTTCCATACTTGTATACATGCTTTGATTTTCTTTATTTTCTCTTCCCATATCGCATTATTATCTATATTATAACCGTGATGTACACCTAATGTTTTTACATGTTTTTGTGTCCATGAGATATTGCTGTATACGGGTTCTTTATTCTTCCATCTACCTAAATATATTCCGGTAGTTTTTTCTAAATTAATTCTTGAACCAGACGCTGATTGATATACATTAAGCACTCTGAATGATTCTTCAATTGATTGTTCGTCAGATTCAAGGAGTTGCGTATCGTCTGCAAACATATTTATTGCAGTTTCTGTATTATCAGGTAATTTGATTCCTTTTATATTTGGGTTCGCTCTAATGGTGCATGCCAGTGGTTCCGCCTGAAGAATATACAAAATTGGTGCAGCCGGACAGCCTTGCCTCGCTGACCGCGATATAGGAAAATATTTACTTACAAATCCATTTGTTTTGATACATGTCTTAGCATTTTGTAAAAGCATGTTAATCCAGTTTCGAAATTTGGTTCCAATGTTAAATTTTTCCAGACACATATTCAACCATTCCCATTCAACCCTATCAAATGCTTTACTTTGATCTAAAAAAATTATCGCACCTTCTGTTTGTTTTAATTCCGTATATTCAATTATATCTTGTATAAGTCTGTTTGCGTCTGAAATATTTCGTCCAGGTACAAACCCCTTTTGGTCCGGATGAATAAGATAAGATAAATGTATTTTTAACCTATTTGCAAGAATTTTCGCGATAATTTTGTAGTCCACATTTAACAATGTCAATGGCCTCCAGTTTTGAATCAACTCTCTTTCACCTTTTTTGTAGAGTAAAGTAAGCATACCTTTGGTTTGAGACTCAGATAGTTTATTTTTCAGAAAAATTTCTTTTAAGACCAAAATAAATTCGAGTTTGATAATATACCAATATTTCTGATAAAATTCGGCTATAATTCCATCTTCTCCTGGTGACTTATTGTGTTTTAATTGATCGATACTTTTTACTATTTCCTCCTCTGTGATCTCTTTTTCTAAATCATCTCTTTGTTCATTAGACAATTTGTTTTGTACATGTTCTAAAAGTGATTCTGCAGCCCTTCTATCCATGCCTTCTGTCGAGAATAATTGTTTATAAAACTTTGTTTGCTCGTCTAAAATTCCATTTATGTCTGTTTTGTAATTTCCGTCATCTGATTTAATCCGATGCCAAACTTTTTCTTTTGCTCTAGTTTTCTCTAAGCTAAAAAAATATCTTGAAGAACTCTCATTGTCTTCGAAGTATTTGATTCTAGACCTTACTCTAAAACCATTCGCCTTTTGTTGATAATAATCTTTAATTTCATTTTTTAAAGAATTGACTTTCTCTCCTGGAACATTTTCCATTTGATATAATTTTTCAAGCAATAGTTCTTTCGATTTTATTTCACTTTCTCTTTTATTTAATATTTTAGAAACGTGGATAGTGATCTCTTTAATTTTTAATTTTGTTATCTCCCACCAGTCAGTTAGATTATTAAACTTGTGTTTTTCTAATTTCCATACCAACCAGAATGTTTCAAACATATTTTTGAATAAATCTGAACTAATAGTGGAAGCATTCATTTTCCATGTTCCCGGTCCCATTTCGACATTACCTATTTCTATTTCGGAGTGTAATAAATTATGGTCGCTGTATAAACATGGTATTATCCTAGTACCAATTATGTCATTGCTTAGGAAGGGACTAACGAAAATGAAGTCAATTCGGGATTTGGAATTCCCTCTGCTAAATGTATGTCCCTTTTTTTCCGAATTTCTTATGCGCCATATATCTATCATTTTATGTTTTTCTAATAGCGTCTTAAATTGTCTTGTACCGGGGTCGTCCCCATTCGTACTTGGAATTCTATCATATTTGTTATTCAAAGTACAGTTGAAATCTCCCAAAAGTATGTTATTTGTTTCCGGTATATTATTATCCAAGTATTCAAAAAATATTTTTCTGTTTGCGCACGTATTAGGGGTATACACATTTGTTAAATGAAAGGAGCAATTGTCATCCGTTGTCACTTTGCATTGTAAAAATCTACCCTCGTTATCCCTTTTTGATTCCGTAATTTTTAAATTTGTTAAACTTTTAGATAACAACGCCACACCTCTCGAAGCAGAACTACCATTGTTCCAAATACTATCGTTACCTCCCATATCTTTCCATTCCTTACTCCATTTATTTTTTTATTTTTTATTTATTTAGGTTTTTGTGATTTTTGACATATTTATCATAACAGGTATTGTGATTTTGAATGTAATAATTGCTATGTACAAGTCAGTACTGTCGTGTTCTGTCCATCAATACACCATCCAGCTGTCCGGGGATGTGATAAATGGAGCAGTGTTTTGTGGTATTTGTCTGCTGTGGTTTCACAGCATGTTGTTGGCTGATGTTGATAGACACTAACTATATTCACACCTTGTGGTCCTTCCTTCCAGGAGCGCCTACAATTGGAGGAGAGAATGCGCAAACAAGAGATGGACATTGACTACCTAGCCCCATTCCTAGCCCAGATGGGCAATCCAGAGAAAATCACCAGGCAACAGGCTTACCAGCTCAAGGAAGACTGTCTTGGTGATCTCAAGAAGCGCCTAATTGACAAAGCCAACCTCATTCAAGCCAGGTTTGAAAAGGTTTGTACCAATTAAATTCAGCCCAGTAGTGCCTGAGGCCAATCTCGGCTAGCACTAAGTGATTTGGTTGCTAGACAACAAAATCAATACCATATTACATCTCCAGGAAATCACAAAAGTCAGAACATTCTTTAATGTATTTTATGAAAAATGTATGAGTTACCATTGATGTTGTAGCAAAAATGTTATTATAAACCCATTTATCATGATTTCCCAGGTTTAACCATCAGTCCAGTCAAAGGAATTCAAATTAAGGTCAATTTGGTCTCTTGTAATTATGTCATTTTCTAACAGATGAAAAAATATTTTGATAATTTTGGTACAATTACAGAAAATGATGATTATGAAGTTAGTGTGACATTGATGGGATACTGTGCTTTCTCTGGTTTATCTATAAAGGAGGCATCGGTATTAGGCCTAACATATAGTTGACAATGTGTTCTAGTAAATATTTAGTACCTATCAAACCAGATGTGTATACAACAGTTATGTACTTGTATTTCTAGTATATCCGATTCTCACAGTCATTAGTTGTTGTTAGAATAAGCTGGGAGAGTGAATGAATGATTTTTATTAAACTATGAACATATGCGTTGGTTAAATGTTTGTTTGATCTTTATCAGATGTAGCCTTGACTTAAAGGTGGTCACTGCTGAAGAAAATGCCAATTTTCCAAAAGAATCAGACTAACTACAAATTGAAATTTATCTCTTAACATGCAAATTGGGTAGCAATATTTAGCCATCAAATACCAAGCTTTGCACATAGCACACATTTTGTCTCGCTCTTTGTGGTATTGTTGAAGCCTTATTTTTGATACACATTGCCAATGTTCTATATAAAGCTTGAAATCATGCTATTTTTAGGAAAGTATTCTTGTAGTCAAGTTGGACACTCGGTCTTATAATATGGTTAAGAAAACAGGAATAGAACTCTGACATCAATGTCTTTTTATCTGGAAAAATTGAAAGGTCATCTATATTTTATATGGTGAGGGATGACCTACTTTATAATTTAGCATTATTAGTTGGTGTAACGTAGGTATGAGATATTTTAGTTGGTATTGATTACATTAGATTGATAAAAAAAAACTGTATGTCTTCTGGAATGGTGAAAATGGTGTAACTGTGAGAATAGTGAAATGGTGTTACAATGGGAATAGTGAAATGGTGTGACTGTGAGAATGATGGAATTTTGACTGGAAATGCTGAAATGGGGTGACTGTGGGAATAGGGAAATTGTATAACTGTGGGAAAGGTGAAATGTTGACTGGGAATGTTGAAATGGGGTGACTGTTGGAATTGTGAAATGGGTTGACTGTGGAATGGTGAAATGGTGTGACTGGGAATAGGGAAGTGGTGTGACAGAAATGTTGAAATGGTGTGACTATGTTAACAGTGAAATGGTTTGACAAAGGGAATGGTGAAATGGTGTGACTGTGGGAATGGTGAAATGGTGTCACAGTTGGAATATTAAAATGGTATAACTATGTTAATGGTGATATGGTTGACTATGGGATGGTGATATGGTTGACTATGGGATGGTGATATGGTTTGACTATGGGATGGTGATATGGTTTGACTATGGGATGGTGATATGGTTGACTATGGGATGGTGATATGGTTTGACTATGGGATGGTGATATGGTTTGACTATGGGATGGTGATATGGTTTGACTATGGGATGGTGATATGGTTGACTATGGGATGGTGATATGGTGTGACTATGGGATGGTGATATGGTTTGACTATGGGATGGTGATATGGTTGACTAGTGTATATAAAGCCATGTGGTTTGATATGGTTATTTTCTTTCCTTAGGAGACACAACTGCTGGAGAAAAAGCAGGCATGGTACCAGCAGAACCAGGTGGCTATGTCGAAAGATGATGAGGAAGCCTACCTTGACTATTGTAGTGAGGCCTTGTTTAGGATACATATTCTTGATCTACGACTGGCAAGGTAATAAAGGAGAATATATCTCTTTATATTTAAAATAAAAAACAAAATTTGTATAATTTCAAGATAATGCTGTTATTAAAAAGATGCATATACTTACAGCATGGATTTATCTGCCATCTGTACATTCATTGACTTTTTCTACAAATTACAATTAGATATGAATGACGGAGCAGATGTTGTACAAAATTTCGTCAGAAGCATCCTTGGGGAAAAAGAGTAAATTTTCTATAAATGAAGGAAATAGAGCAAATTCTTTAAAATTCTACTCCTCCTCTAGTAATGGTTCAATTTTACCCAAATTTGGTTTGTAGCATTTTTTGGTGAAGGGGAATCATATATGTAGAAACAGTTGGTTTTGGTTGCCAGGGGCCAGAGACGTGGGACAGAAAAGGGGAAAAATGAGCAGATTCTTTCAAATCCTACTCTTCCTATAGAAATGATTGAATTGGCTTGAATTTGGTCTGAAGCATTCATAGCTGAAGGGGAATAAATTTTGTATAATCGCAGGTCTCCGCCCCCTGGGGCTACAGAAGTAAGGTTTAATGGGAAAATAGAAAAAGTATTTAATACCTACTCTTCCTGTAGGAATGATAAGAGTTTGCTCAAATTTAGTCTGCAGCAATCTTTGGTGAAGGGGAATCAATTTTTTTGTTAAAGATTTATCTTGGCTCCCTGGGGCCAGAGAGGCAAGGCCAAATAGGGGAAATGAAGCAAATTCTTCTAATCCTACAGGCTGTTGGAATGGTTGGATTTTACCCAAATTTAGTCTAAAGCATTCATGATTGAAGCGGAATCTATGTTGTATAAGCAGGGGGTCTCAGTCACCTTTGTTGTTGGAGAGGCCGAATATGGGAAATAGAGCAAGTTTTTTATATATCCTTCTCCTTCTCTAGGTGGATCTAGCCCCCTTGAGACGAAGCATAAATTGTTTGACTGACCCCTAAGGACAGTGGGCATGAACTACTGGGGAAATATAATGTGTGTTGTGGGCTTGCAAATTTAGAATTCCTTTTTCTTTAAATTTGAATGAAGCGATTTCAGCCAAAGAAAGACAGGCGAGCGATACAGGCCCTATGGATCTCTTGTTCATCTCTTGCAATCAATATTACAAAATTTGTAAATTGATATGTCATGCATCTGAGTCAAATTACTGCTTCACGTTTACAAAGAATATCATGTAGACCCTTTAAAATATCACCATTTGAGTTCTAAAGCAGACAGAAAGTTTAATGCCACATGTTGTGAATGGTTATAAAATCTGATGTCAATGCTTAGAGTTTGAACCATTTGATTTAATTTGAGCCTTAGATTTCTCAATAGGAAATTGATTTTAGGAATTGTAGGGGTTGTTTGCTGTTAAAAATATCACTTTCTGACTCAATGACTTGGGAAAAAAAAGTTAAATTGATTTTGTGGATTTTGTAAATTAATATTACCACATCATTTGCATTGGGTTTTGTTGGAGTTGAATACAGATTTAAGGATTGGAGTGGTTTTAAAGTAGGTGAGAGGGGTTGGTTATGTAGGAGGTATAAACATATGTGACACTCCATATAAAGGAAGACTTGATACCAATCTATACATTTACATAATGGATGGAGCTTAGGAGTTCAACTGAAGGCTAACTAACCACTGGTCACAAGATTGAGGTCGCTGTTATGCACATTATAAGGGTGTTTGAGGGAGGTGGAGTGATTCAGTTAGAATGTGGAAGGTTGTCTTTAAATTATGTGATAACATCAAAGGTAATGATATCTGGAAATATTGTCAGGAGTCCTCACATGGTTTGATAGTAATTTAAATAACAGTGATTAATTCATTCCAAATCCTGTATTGACACACTGGCAAGTATTACATTTCAACTGTAGTGTCAAATTTATGTGCTTAAGACAACAGTTCTAACCTATATATAGATCAGGACTTATATGTATACATGAAGTGCAGGGATGTGATATCTGGGATTGTGTTGGGTTTAGTACCTTATGATCCGCTTTTCTCCCACTCCACCGACGCTACTTTTCTCCCACTCCACCGATGCTACTGTTCGCTTACACCACTGATGCCACCATGCACAGTCCTACTGTTACTATTCACAGCCCTACTGTTACTTTAATGTATAGTTTTGTCCTTTCAGACACAAGGAACAAGCCCCACATAAATACATGCAGCTTGAACAGAGGTTGAGGAGTGAAGAACGGCTGTCTGAATTTTTCTGAGCGTCATATTTTCAAAAAGAAAGTTTAATGCTGGACAAAAGACCTTTAAAGTGGTTTAAAAAACACTAATTTAAGTTTCTATCCTTTATTAAATTTCTGAACCTGCAATGACAGATCACCATTGCATTACAAATATGGAGCCAACAATATATACGGTGTGTTTCAAACCAGCACCATTCTTTGATTGGTCACTTCTTAAAGAGAGGGTAGGCAACCTAGGGAAAACTGCTTTTGACTGGTCAACAAGAGGGCATGTGACCCAGGAAACAGCTAGCTTAGAGTACAAGTTGTCAGATTTGTCATTTATAACTGTGTTGGATAAAACATTCCTACAGATCACATGATTTCATCATCAGCACACTGTCTCTCCCTACAGTTCAGGTAACTGACTGGATGTGAGGGTAGGGGAGACTTTCTGAAATGTTGTCTTATTGAAGCAATCAGTTGTGTTTGCTCTTCAATTAATGACAATGACACGGAAAATATCATTTCTCTATTGATATAAATATGAGAGATTGACTTCATTGTATATAAACATGAATATCTGTGATATCATATAATAAAAAAACAATTATTATGTGTTTGTGTTTGCTGTTGTTTTTAAGAAGTCTCAATCACAGAACATGGTAAGATACATCTCAGGATGACCTATATCCATTGTATTTCATCCGTGTATAAGCTTTCCATTCAAATTACTTCTCAATAACCAAAAGGCCTATGGTTCTGATATTGGGCTTGCAGCATGATGGGATGAAGAGCTACCAAGTTTGTTAAAATAAGTGATCTTGACTTATTTTCAAGGTCACAGGTGACTAATATGTCTAAATCTATAAACAACTTCTTCTCAGTAACCAACAGGCACAGGATGCTTATATTGGGCTTGTAGCATGATGGGGTGAAGGGCTACCAAGTTTGTTGAAATGTGTAACCTTTACCAATTTTCAAGGTCATGGGACAAATGTATAACGATCTTTAAACGACTTTGTCAAGTCCAAGGGTGCTGATATTGGGCCTGCGCCATGCATTGATGAATCGTTACCAATTTTGTTCATATGATTGATCTTTTTAATAGTCACAGGGTTCAAATGTGTTAACTCTTCAAACGACTTCTCAATAAAAAAAAGTCTTTGCTGTTGATACTGGTTCTTTAATACAAGTGGATAAAGGGTTATCGATTTGTTTAAATAATTGACCTTGATATTCAAGTTCTCTTGGATAATCCAGTTGAGATCCTAAAATTTCTTTTTTTGTGTCAAGACAAGGTCGTTTATAAAAGTTCTGTAGATCAGCCTAAATGACATTGTTACCCAAATTCCTTGCCAATCGTTGATTTTCATTTTAAGATATGAATATTGACAATGTCTTATCTTTGAAAAACAAGACATTTATTGGCCATGTCCATCGTATATACCAACCAAGAATTGGAAATCGAGAACTCAACATATACTCTTCTTCATCTGCCCCTCACGTCGATCTTTTCCTTTACTGAAAGCATTAGAGAAAGCTTTCCAAAATCTCATGATTTTGATTTCAAGATGGTAATATTCTTGCTTCCCCAATTTATGACCATTACAAGTTGATTCGATATTCTAGGTTGTGCTCCAAATATCACGATTTTCATAAAAGATGATGATAAAACCAGGAATTGGAGAGATATGTGTGTTTTATGGTCGTTACCATATTCTTATCTGGAAAGATTCTATTCATTGTGTGATTTGAAGTATGATTTGTTGGATGCTCGTCAGTATGCCGGATGACTTATGTTGTGTTTAATTTTGTTCTTTTAAACGTAGATTGACCGTGATATGCAACGGCGGGCGTATGTTGCTGAAGTTAAAGACACATACCCTTCTGGATCCCCTAGGTTCGAAGGTTGTCCTCCTAAATCTTTTGTGAATTATGTTTTTGGTTACTTGTCGATATTTCTTGGGTTTTTTTTTAATTCTGGGCAGGTTTAAGCATTTCAAGTAACACATTTGGACAACTTGACAGGAGTCTGCTGATTTCAGTGAAATTACATTGGCATTGAGTTGACGGAAACTCTCACTTTTAACAATTTATTGACTGGGTATCAAGATATATCTAGGCCGTTGTCTTGGTACAGTGTGAAGGAGGAATTTAAGTGACAACATGATCGTATGATGCAGTGCCAGGTGACCTTGGACATGTTTGATGAAATGTTATAAAAAGTTCGGCACATTTGATCAGTGTGATATAAAATTTGGTATGTTTGATCATTGCAATATGAAGTTCGGCATTTTTGTTTTGCATTTTTTAAAAATCTACAAATGTATATGAACTGTTCAACACTGGAATTTACTTTTCACGTTTAATAAGGTGAACTGTACAGTTATTATTTGTTTAAGGCTTGAGACTTAATACATCCATGCTAGTCACGGTAGAGTGTAGACTCTATTTTTTCCTGTTCTGTTCGTCCTACCTTTTCTACAACTACAACCATCATCAAAACGACGTTATTCTGCTCCTGTCACCACGAAACCAAAGCAAATTTTGTTGTGAGCCTATATTTGGCAACAGAATCGGAGCACTTTTTTCAGGATGGAAACACAGCTACCACAAGGATGGAGCCATTTGGAAATCTGATAGCACCACATCTCACATCAACCCTTCCTTTTTATAGGTTTTACAGCTCTAACCGATATCATGACATTTTGAACAGATGACTTCGAAGACCAGCGGCTCCATTGCATTTTTTGTAGTTACAAATTACAAATGTAGTGGAGAAGTGTTTTGTTTCCGATTACAGGTATGTTATTATCCGAACCCCCACGAATTCCACTCTATAAATCACGACCACAATGAAAGGTTTGAATTCATTGTCAATTCTACAATGTCTTTGTTTCAAGGACGGCAATTTTAGAAAAGAAACCAGAAAATGCCGACACAACCTAATTCAAATACGGAACAAATGAAATAATGGTAAATATGAACAAAGAGAGATTTATACGGATACCTCTGAAAAACTATCAACTAAAATGAAATCATAAGTAAAACAGCCCCAAAATTGATGTCGCAAACGATGTTTTCTTGTGCATTGTTACTTTATAAATACATATTTTCAAAAATCTTTTTATAGAAATATCTTATAACTTGAATCTGGACTGTAAAGGTATTCGGTCAGCCAAATGAACTTGTAATAAGGAATTTAAACTATATGGTGTCTGACGGGTACCATGTCATGTGGGAAAGTATAGTATGTCTGTGTAAGCTTTATTGATGGCGAGTTTATAATGGTACAGGAAATATGTCTTGTTGAAGTCACCTAGCAGGACACCCAACACGGTCACATTACCACTGTGTATGAACAGAAAAACTACAATAATCTTGAACGTTTGTCTTTGTCAGAAACTCTGAGATAAAGGCCAACAGTGATATGGTGCCAAGGGAGACACTAGGGAGAACAGACATCCTTAGAAAGATTCAATATTTCAGTGGCCGCTTTCTAGCATACAATGGTAACAGAAGCCTTAATTCATACGTTCTACATTCAGGACAAAAATGATAGAGAACTGATTTTTTGCCGCCGATATCGTCCACACATAGGCAGGTAAACAACTGTAGCATGTACGATAGTGTCCTCTGTCTTTCTAATCCGAACAGTCGTTTTCCTTTTGGCACCCCTCTACACGTACATGTCCTCTACATTACACTCACCTGCATCAGAACTGACTGAAGATTTTGAGAGGCTTATGAATCCATACTGCAGGAGTTCCATCTACAACAATACTATACTGAAGTTATACATTATATTGTTGTTTCATTCGCAACTATTAAGTAACTGAAAAACAAACCATCAATGTGATTTTATTATTTGATTTTGGCGACTGGTGTCGTGAACTATGCCGTGCCTTTGACTGTTCTTGGTAGTATAATATTAAGAAATGCCCCCTAATATTGAATTCGTGCTAAATAATTCTCATTAGACCCATGTCCACGTGGCTGATGGTCTCGTGTCACATCTGACGCACAAACCGATTTTTTTGTTGACAGAATGTCGTCAAGTCATATATAGAATTGTCTATCACACCATCAATTTTCGAAAGTTCGAATAATTTAACACATTATGTGATAAATCTTTCTCATCGACACACACTCTCTACAGTTAAACAAAACAAAACAAAAACAAAAAAACACCGACACACTTTACAATAAGTATGGCGGAGAGGGATTACAACAACAAACACCGACACACTTTACAATAAGTATCGCGGAGAGGGATTACAACAAACACCGACACACTTTACAATAAGTATGGCGGAGAGGGATTACAACAACAAACACCGACACACTTTACGATAAGTATGGCGGAGAGGGATTACAACAACAAACACCGCCACACTTTACGATAAGTATCGCGGAGAGGAATTACAACAACAAACACCGCCACACTTTACGATAAGTATCGCGGAGAGGGATTACAACAACAAACACCGCCACACTTTACGATAAGTATGGCGGAGAGGGATTACAACAACAACCACCGCCACACTTTACGATAAGTATCGCGGAGAGGGATTACAACAACAAACACCGCCACACTTTACGATAAGTATGGCGGAGAGGGATTACAACAACAAACACCGCCACACTTTACAATAAGTATGGCGGAGAGGGATTACAACAAACACCGACACACTTTACAATAAGTATGGCGGAGAGGGATTACAACAACAAACACCGACACACTTTACAATAAGTATGGCGGAGAGGGATTACAACAACAAACACCAACACACTTTACAATAAGTATGGCGGAGAGGGATTACAACAACAACCACCGCCACACTTTACAATAAGTATGGCGGAGAGGGATTACAACAAACACCGACACACTTTACAATAAGTATGGCGGAGAGGGATTACAACAACAAACACCGACACACTTTACAATAAGTATGGCGGAGAGGGATTACAACAACAAACACCGCCACACTTTACAATAAGTATGGCGGAGAGGGATTACAACAAACACCGACACA